AAAAGCAAAAGAAAAAAGAGTATGTCAGCAACTTTGTCAAGAGATTTAGAAATCGATCGCTACATTGCTGTAATTAAGTCTCTGAAAGTACGTTGATCGAGATGTGTCGCAACAATTTCTCGATCCATATTTTATCTAAGATTGGAGCGGTGAAGAACCGAACTTGGAAAAAGCTTGTTCGTCAAGGTGAACAGGTTGAAAACATGCTCAAAACACTAGATACTGAGGAGCCGTGTGAATCTCGAAGAGGGGGTAACCAGAGCGACTTCACCCCTCAGAAACAATCAAAAGGGAAGGAGACTTTTGCAGTGGAAACCACTTCCTCCCTTAAATTTTTTTCGAAGCAGAAGGGTAAATTTTCGGATAGCCGTTTTCAGCAGAAGTACGACTTCAACGATGAGCAGATCGTACCAATCATCAAGTCCTTGATTAAGGTAAAGAAGATTAAGCTCCCAGAATCAATGCGATCCGAGAAGATGTCGAGAACGGATGATCACAACTACTGTACGTATCACAGGATGGTTCATCATCCCACTTCTAAATGCTACATCGTGAAGGATAAGATCCAAATTTTATTGGATGATGGAGTCTTTACCCTTCAATCTTGATTATTGCTAGTGTAGGTGTAGTTTCGGTTTCTTTGCAAAACCATGTACTACCTCAATCTTTCTCTCTGACGGAGCCATGACGACCCGAAGCTCGTCATAAATCAACTCCAAGGTGAGTCCGAAGTCAGACATGAGCATCTGGCCTCTTACCAAAATACTATCACGTTAATGATTACCTTTGATAGTCATTCCCTTCAAATTCACCCACCAATCCTTTTCAATAGGATGGCGAGATCACAAAATACTATCAAGTTAATGATTACCTTTGATAGTCACTTCCTCTAAATTTTCTCGTTAATCATTTTTAATACGATGGCGGGACCACAAAATACTATCAAGTTAATGATTACCTCTGATAATCATCTCCCTCTAAATTCTCCCACTAATCCTCTCCAATAGGATGACGGATCCACATAACTATCATGTTAATGATTACCTCTGATAGTCATTTCCTCCAAATTCCATTGTCAATCCTCTCCAATAGGACGACGAGACCACAAAACTATCATGTTAATGATTAACTCTGATAGTCACTTCCTTCAAATTCCCTCACTAATCCTCTCCAATAGAATGACAGACTCATAACACGTTAATAATTATCTCTGATAGTTAACTCTTTATACATTGTCATGTAGAGGCCTACCATGTGATGTGCCTCTATTCCATTCACAATCATTATACTTCCATATCACTGAACGACTTGAAATCCCTCGCCAAGTAGTGTTCTATCATGCGATAAACACATACTTATCACTCGATCAAGATAGTGATCTACCATGTGATAATTCACTATCTGGTCTTTTCCGAAAGTTTTATCTCTATAGAACGATCGAAGATAGTGGCGTACCATGCGATGTGTCACTATTTCAATCACAGTCGTTATACTCCTATATCACTGAAAGACTTGATTTTCCTCGTCAAGTAGTGTTCTACTAAGCGATGAACATCTACTTGTCACTCAATCAGGATAGTGATCTACCATGCGATGATTTGCTACCTGATTCTTTCCGCAAGTTTTATCTCCTAGAACGATCGTTAATAGTGGCCTACTATGTGATGTGTCACTATTCCAACCTCTATTTTAATCATAGTCATTATACTCCTATGTCACTGAACGATTTGGTTCCCTTCAAAATCTCCAATCAATCATCTTCAACAGGATGACGGGTTCATAACAAAACTATCATGTTAATGATTACCTCTGATATTCAATTTTCTTCCAAAATCTCCCACAAATCATCTTCAATAGGATGACGAGTCCACTAAATTATACTTCGTCAAGTAGTGTTCTATTATGCGATGAACACCTACTTGTCACTCGATCAAGATAGTGATCTACCATATAATGATTCACAATCTGATCCATTCTGAATGTTCTATCTCCATAGAACGGTCGAAGATAGTGACCTACCATGCAATGTGCCTCTATTCTAATCACAGTCGTTATACTTTCGTGTTACTGAACGACTTGATTGCTTTCACACCGTCATCCCTGCTAATGACCACTTCTTAAAATAGCAGGTCTACCATGCGATGAGCCTCGCTTTTAACTTTTCAGGTTGAGCTGTTACACTGAATGACACAACCAAACTTGATTACAACTTAACTATTGTAATCATGCTCGAACACTTAATCCAACGTCTTGAATGACTAAGGATAGAGGAGAAATTTTAGCATTAAGCCTAAGAGAAACTCCTCGATAACTTATCATGTTAAGGGTAAAAACATGCTAAGGGTAAAAGCATGGCTAGTCCAACTCAAACGGCAGTTGGTAAAGACACATCAAGTCCGTTGATAGCTGAGAGTTTGCTAAAAATCCTAAGTCTTGATTGTCAATCACACATGGGTCTGACGAAGCCCACACAGAATGATGAGACTCAACGAATAGCCGGACTTCATGTCGAAGTATTGAGGTTCGCCTAGAAATGACAAACTTCGTCTGGAACCACGATGTTCACCCCGAAGCATCGAAGCTCGCTAAGAGGCTGAGCTCGCCAAGAGGCCAAGCTCGTTGTGCAAATCAAGCTCGCCACAACCAAGAGAATTCAAGGTATTTCAGACCCATGCAACTCAATTGGGCCTGAAAACTTTGAAGGGGGTCTTGTAGACACTAAAAAAATGCCAAGAAACGAAGGAGGGTCGAACCTCACTATAAGCACGACGAGGGTCGTCACAATGACGAACCTCGGCCTCAATTCATGAAGTTTGTCTCAGTTAAATAGGACAAACAACACCTCACCCCTCAGAAGACGAACTTCGTCATTGAAGACGAAGTTCACCTAGAGACGAAGTTCGTCATTGAAGACGAAGAGACGAAGTTCGTCATTGAAGACGAAGTTCATCAGAAACGAAGTTCGTCATTGAAGACGAAGTTCGCCAGAAACGAAGTTCGTCGTTGAAGACGAAGTTCGCCAGAAACAAAGTTCGTCGTTGAAGACGAAGTTCATCAGAAACGAAGTTCGTCATTGAAGACGAAGTTCATCAGAAACGAAGTTCGTCATTAAAGATGGAGTTCATCTAGAAACAAAGTTCATCATTGAAGACGAAGTTCGTCCAGAAACGAAGTTTGTTATTGAAGATGAAGTTCGCCGTTGCCATTATCGACGAATCTCGTGCATGGTCGAACCTTCTCTGTCACAATTTTCAGAGGTTACATTTAGGGAGAGTTAATGATCACTAACTCACCCATTTAAATGGGAGTTAATGACCACTAACTCCCTAATTAGAAAGGGAGTTAAATCCCATTAACTCACTCCTTAATGGTCCTATGCTTATAAATAGACATGATCAACATGAAAGGAGGGGGAGGAAGGGGATTGAGAGGCTAGTCAAAAAGCCTATCTCTCCTCCACTCTTATGGATCTTCATAGATCATCGGCTAATCATTTGGCTTTGGAACGTTGAAGCTCATAACAAGCATGACAATGGTCATTACAATGATGAACCTTGTCTAAAACAACAAAGCTTGTCGTTGGAAACAAGATTTGAAGCGCGTCAATGAAGACGAAGCTCATCAGTGAAGACGAAGTTCGTCAGACGAAGTCAGTAAAGACAAAGTTCGTCAGAAGAAGCTCGCTATACGGCAAAGCCTGCATTGCCAGACAAACCTCGCTGCGTATTGAGGCTCGTCTGATCTGATGAACCTTGTCATGCAGTGAGGCTCGTCGTCCGCGGGAGATCTAGCTGTAACGGCTCCGAAGACCCAGTCAGCCACGTAGGCTAAATTTCAAGAGTACATTACGTCCCATTAACCAATGTGGGCTGAATTGAAGGAGGCAGTTACGCCCTCTACCCACAATTTTAGCACGTCGGATACGTGCTGAAACTCTAAAAATAGGCATGAGCGGCTATGAAGAAGATAGCTTTTGGAGGAGTTTTGACGATCGCGTGAAGAGAGATTAGTGTCTGCATTCTCGTGATCTAAGCCACCATCAGTATCGTTAACGGGAAGTCATCTCGGCTTGAGTATCGAGAGAAGCATCCTTTCGTCACCAAGAACCTACTTTTAAACAAAAGAGAAGTCAAATTAATCTTTTCTTTCTCTCTAATCAAGATAGAGAGTGAGTGATTGTAAGGCATTCGTACCAAGTGATCGAACCCATTTTTTAAAACAAGAAATCAATCAAAATTCAACTTTTCGACCCTACAAACTGAAGTTGCTTATTTTAAGGCAATATTTCGATTTGTAATTGCTATTGCTATTAGTGTTACTGTGAAGTAGTTATTAGTGTTTTGATGGTTGTGGTAACTAAATCTTGGAGAACCTGAAAAAAAATTCAATGAGAAGTGTAGAGAAAAATAATAAATAATTAAATACAAATGATTAAGCTGACCTCAGAATGCTTCTCCTCACACCATAATTGCATTCTTGTCAGAACAGACAAATCATGGACTACTGAAATTGCTAATTCCTATTGTTCTTGCTACTTTTTGATTATTTGAAAAAGATTAGTTTTGTGTAGGAATACTTCATGTCTTCTGTCTACTCTCTTATTATCAACTTGATAAACTATATCCTTTCAAAGTGATTTTTGCTAAGAGTGGGTATTGGGCATGTGTATACATGCAATAGAACCTCCGTGATTTTTGGGCATGTTTGAAGAAATTTATATTGTTATTATTATTATATGCTAATAAATATGTCTGTTTCGAAGAGATTATTGCTAAGAGTGCATATTGGGCATGTGAATACATGCAAAAGGAAGTCTCTCTAAATTCCAAATTTTCTACTGTTGCATTTACAAAATAAACTTGAGTACTGCTTTTGTATTTTTAATATGATTTGCTATTGGTTTTTATACTTTTTTTAAAGTCTAGCATAGGTAATGGTCAACAATTAAAACTTTCAACAATCCTAAGTTTTAACTTTAATTATTTAAGGTTAATATGTAGGGATGTATGCAAAATGCTGCTTTGGAGGATTATATATCAGGTACCCAGTAAATAAGTAACAGAGTCACAGAGATGGACACGTACTAATTGAAAGGTATAACCCATTTTTGTCTTTGTTGTCCAAGGCTTTTATCTTATAAGACTACAAGCATCTTTGGACATGAGGTTGTAAACTCCTGGAAGGAGTTTACATAATGTTGTCGGAAGTACATACTAGTAATTTATTAGGTGAAGATTGCTTCTTTAATTTCTTCTTCCAGCACTTATTAACACAATCTTTATAACTATTTGCCACATTTGTATCCTTCTGCAGTCTGATATTCTCCTAAAAGGTGGATTTGTGCATCGAGAAATGCTGTCCAGCTAACAATGGGAATAGATGAAGAGAGTGGCTTTCATGAGTCTAATTCAGTTCCAAGGGAAGCTGAATGTAGAACCAGTACTAATCTGACAGGATCCCCGGATGGCGACAATTTAGAGACATTTAGGGAGAATGATGAAACAGAAGAGGGTGAACACATACAGGATATGGATCTTGAAAGTGACCCAGAACAGGAACAAACCGTCATTACAGAGAGTCTCAAGTTATCCACGGAGATGCCAAACGAAGTTAAGCCTGAAAAGTCTTCTGATAATGTTTGTCCACCTACCACAACTAATGTCACTGTTAGCAAGGTTCTAATAGATGATAGCCGTATCCTGTTATCTGTGATGTTTTCTCTGTCTTATGATTTTAATATTAGTTTTCAATTATGTGAAACATCAATCTGGCGCATATACAGTTTAGAGCCAAGTCATGGGCATTAGATGTAATATAAAGAGCTATTTTTTGCAGGAGAACAGTGTTACTCAGCTTGTTTATTCTGATGTTCAGACGCTGTGTTTCTTTTCGTGAAAATTCTTTATAGTTTTTCCATAATTTTGAACACTAGCTATAACAGGAGTTAAGAGAGCTCGAGTGACATATGAGGATAATCAGCCATGTGTTCGTGTAGTTTATAACTCCCTTTCAAGGTTGGGCTGAAAGCAGTATCTTCCCTTCTTAAAAATGTATATCCTTTACTTTATTACTTGCTTACATGCGATGGTTGAATATGAGGACATATCTCTTCTTGTGCGGATGCATCTTGTCCTCCACTCATTATGTGCTTATTCTTTAAGCTGCAATTTGTAGTACATAAAATCCTGACCTCTGTTTATTTTTCTCAGAGAAAGCAAGAAAAAGCTTATGGAACTTATGCAGCAGTGGTCGGAGTGGCATGCTCTAGCCAAGTCTTCTTCCTCTGTAAAGTTCATTTTCAAGACTTATTTCCTCAAATGCCAGACTTCATGTTGTCCTTTTTACTTTCATCTAATAGAAGTATTTTTATTCAGTTCAATCATTGCAATTATTGGTTATTCCTTACTTGTTTTCCCTAGAATTTTGTGCTTCAAGTCAATTTGATATATCTTATGAGCATATGAGGTTCTGTTTATTGAATCATTTGGAACTTTCGTAAGTCTGGAAAGGACAAAGAGAAATTTCCCTGATAACTGCAAAAATTTAAGTAACTCATGTGACCATAGGGAGTGGAGTTCTCTACAGGAGTCCAACTAACTTTTTTTATTTTGTAAAGTGATTGAAGGCATCCGGTCGCCGCTAATTAGTCGCATTATGCTGATTATGTTCTAAAGAACCATATCATATCAGTTTTTTGTAACCCATATTATCTACAAATTTCTCTGATATTAAAAGAATCACCAATGTCTTTATTTTGAATATTGTGAAGGTTTTGTATGCATCACCTTTGTTTAGTTGTTATCGCGAAAAATACAACTTTAATATTTACCAGGTCCTCGCTATCACTTCTTTTCAGTTGAATTTGATAATGTGAGCATATTGTATTCATTAACTCCTCTTGTTGTATCAGTCTTAAAGATTTGAATTGGTTCCATGGTTTCTTTACTAGTAAATACTTTAAATATCATCCTATCATGAATCTCTACAGGTAAACTCAGAGGAGGCCTTAGAATGTGGCGAAGAAATATATTTTCCTGCACTTAATGTGGGCTCAAAGAAGACTACTGCTGTGGTATGTACCTAAGTATAGTATTTTATTGCGGTAAAAGAATGCTATAGTCTGCAACTATGGCTAATTTGTATTTGACTGTATAATTGTGGAGTGGCATCCTGAGGCACACGGCTTGCTAGCATATAATCTGAGGAAATTGTGCTTTTTCAGGCATATATTTTATACTTTAGGTTTAAATGTATAATAAATGTAGAAGAATGTGGCTATTGAAAGGGTCAATCATTCTTAGCTTTTGTTTTGTCATCTTTCTTTTGTGCCATATTTTGTTGCCTTTTATCCCCTTCTAGAAAGCAAAAATGTTTTCTTTAGTTTCATATAATTCATCTTTCTCTTTTTCACTTCAATGCAATTTTATATCAGTGCACCGAGAAAACTTAAAAGATTCAAAAGAAGAATATCTTATAGAGATTTGAGGGATGAAAATGGAAGGGTTCTGATCTTTTTTCATATGGTTAAGATTACTCTTTAAAGTGATGATTACGGGTAAACGAACTTGGAATTTCACATTCCTTCATCTTGTAAACCTTTTGATGTGTAGCTTCATAGGAGCCGATAGCTCATATGACTAGCAGTTCATATGCCAAAGAAACTTATTTGGTTTATAAAGTAGGAAAAGCACATGTAAACCTCTATGAGCAAATTCTCGACCAAACTTTTAAATTCTTTTTAATCTATGAAAAAACTGGTCTACTTTTACCCTCATGAATGCGCGCACACACACACACAAAAGCTTTTGCATGTTTTGTTTAGTCTTACCCTTTTCCCGCTTAGATTCTTCAAGTACTTAGAAAATACTACACAAGTATTTTATTGAGATGGCAGGTGAAACTCATTATTCTCGTGTTTGTGTGTGTCCGTGCTTATATGGTATGTATCTATCTAGGATATGGTAGGTTATTTTCAATCGGGGAAATTTTTTGGCTCTCTGTATCCTCTATCTCCTACTTTGTTACAAGGTGATTTCCATGTCTTGCATGTCTATGTATGGAAAATCATGAACTTTGAATGTCATCTTGAAACCTTCCTGTCTGATGCAGTCAAGTTGCCAGATAACATCTCAACAGGTCCTCTAACTTCTGAAATGGAAACTGAACAAAATAATTCAAAGCAATGAAAATGATGTAAGAAAAGGAACATAAGTCAAACTAAAAGAGCAGGCTGCATGTTGTGACTACTTATGCTTCCACTTTGAATGCCCATTCTATTGTAGTTTGTTGGCATCATTTATTGTGGCTAAACGCCATACAATTAATTTTGAGCTTCCTCACCCATGCATCATGCTGCTGCAAAGCAATAACATTATGTTCTTTCAAAGCAGACAATCTCAGTTGGTAAACAATAATGCCAAGTTACTTCTAAAACAGATGCCAAAAGTAGTTAGAATCCTGGCGTAACATACTCCTTCAGCCCTTAGCACCGTACCAAATCTTATGAAAGCACCATTGCCCCTGCTTTAATGACCATGGCCATCTTCCTCATCACTCAGGACTAAGCACCCTCACCACCTCTAACTCTTTTGTGCTTGATATAAGAGGAGAAAATGTCTGGAAACCAATTATAACGTATGTTTTTTCAGCCTTCTTGCAAATGAGTGGGAGGGAAGATCCACATGAATCAAGCTTAGAGATAGAAAGTGGAAGGAGAACTTAGGGGTTTCAGCACGTGATTTGAGTGTCTGCCTGAAAAAATTGGGTTGGTTAAGAGGGGAGAGTTAGTGCCTTTCCGCTGTTGAATGTTTCTTTGAGCTGAAAATTGTGGAGGTTATTTTACATGGTATACCGATCTAGTTGACCTACTATGCATATTCCACCTTTATTGTTTTATGTATTAAATATGCGTTGCTGAGTTAAGGGGAAAGTGGCATCTAGACTTGGCGCAGTTCCCCTGTGAAAGTTTTTTCAAGATGAAGTTGCAAAAGGCATTGCTTCCCGACACACCGATTTAGTTGATATGTGAGCCATGTTTCACCATCTCTTGCTTTGCATTAAATATGATCTGTATATAATTTGAGAATGTTTATAGGCCATTATTTTTCTTCTAGAATGCAGGTTCAGATACTCGCATATTTCAGACACCTAGGGTTGCAAAAAAATATCTGTGTCTGTGGATATATCCGTATGCATTAGAATATGAGTATGGTTACTAAATATCTGCACCTGATAGAAGATGATTATGGATACAAATATGTACTATGTAGTGAAATATCCTGATCCAAAAGATCGGTATATATATTGTTCATACGGTAGCAATTGTTTTAGTCCTTAGATTAATGGATTTGAGGTTAATTTGATGATCAGGAGATCTAATTTTAGCTTCTTAGATATAAGAAACATATTAATGAACTCCCTTGCATCATATGAACTATAGTTTTTTTTTCAATATTATCCTGGTTTTCTCAAATCCGTTTTGTGTTTGCATGTGTATTTGTATCTGTATCCATATCCGCGTAATTTTCTCAAATCCGTTTTGTGTTTGCATGTGTATTTGTATCTGTATCCATATCCGCGATTGATAAATGGATATGGAGATGGTAAGTAATAAGTATCATATCTGAGCCGTATCCAAACCGTTTGCACCCCTACACACAACTCTTGAGGTTCCGGGTTGACGCTATCTTGGTATCACATTGTCTTACAAGGACTTGTTAAAACCACAACTCATATACTGCTTGCCTGAAACTTTGGTTCATAGTCTAATTTGTAATGCTATCATTCATAACTATCTATCAGACAAGTTGGTAGAATTTGACCTTACATTTTAAGTATCAATGTCCTAGATGTCTGAAACTCTAATTTCAGGGATTACTCAGATGAAATGTTGGAATTTTGTAATTACTGAACTTTTTACATAGTTCTTTTGTATGTTTATTGTAAATTGGCTTATCTTTATTGCTTCACGATGTTTCTTGTGAACTTATAGATGTGAATCTTCTTTATTTGCTTGAAGTCTTTTTGGGTAGACAATCAAGCAAGAAATGAAGATACTAAGAACATACAGCTGGATCATGACTCCATTCCTCTTTATGATCGTGGGTACACATCGGTTACAACTTCGCTTGGTGGTGTAGGTGGCTTTGAAAGGTATTTGCCTTCTTTCCAGAATTAACAAAGATACATCAAATCTTTGTAGACAGTTTAGTGAGAAAAACAAGAACTTGCCTGTCATGTACTAATTGATATCCTCGTGTTATTATCTTTCTTTTTTGAACAATGCATGATCTATCCAAGTTATTATGCTTCTCATATATTTGATCGTTTTGACCATTCTTTGAGCACATCTTCTATCTGCAGACACACTATATAATGATATTACATTGGCAAAAGGGTTTTTTAACACTTGATATTTTAGTTAAATAGTGAGTTGCAACATTTCACACTTTGCTAGGGCCCTTCACGTAGATTCTGGGTTATTATGGGGTAGCATTTACTGTACAGAACTTGGTAGAAGTGTGAATTTTTTACAGTTCTGTAGTACAGAAATCTAGGTAGGTGGGTTTTTGCTGGGTATTCATGTATGTATGTGTGTGCATGTGACATTGCTGGGAGGTTGATGGTTGTTTTGGGTGGTGATGGTCTGAGAGGGGGTTAACAGTGTTGGAATGTGGGGTGTTCATGTACTGATCATTGTGTCAACTCAAGAGTATGTGTCTCTACCATGGTACATAATGTGGAAGAACATATACCAGGGATGATACGCATGAAGAAAAGGTACGTTGGATTTAAAAGTTCAAAAAAGAAATAAGATGGAGAGAATATGCAGCAAACCTGCAATCTTTAGGCACCTTCTGCTCTTTGCCTAACAATGAATAATGTAAGTATACTTGCTTTGGTTTGTCTCTTGTGAGGGTTTTAAACAATCTTTTTATAGGGATATATGCAAGTCCTTCCCTTTGCATATGTCAGAGAGAGATTTCTCCCATTATGTTGGTTGCGGCTATGCCAAAAGCGAGAGAAACCCCATCCCTCTCTTTCCTTTTTGCGCCCCATGTCCCTCCCGTGTGGCGACATGGGGACGTAAAAAGTGCGATCCTATCAACTTGTTCCGACCTAGGATAATAAGCTCATGAGCTTGGTCTTACTTCACCGTCGAGAAACGAAAGAAGACTTCAATATCCAAGCTTAGCTCAGATGTAGCTCACTTCTTTTTGGGTGTGAAGCAGTGTCAAACCAAAATACCCAACAAGCATAAGCATTAGCTCTCCCTGAATGAAGCAGTGTCAAACCAAAATACCCAACAAGCATAAGCATTAGCTCTCCCTGAAAAGGAGGTGATCCAGACGCTACCTTGTTACGACTTCACTCCATTCACTAGCCCCGCCTTTATGGGCACATCTGAGATCAAGAAATGCTCGGGAGTTCCTCTATTCAATCCTTTTCCTTCTCCTTGTTGCTGATATCTCGTTCGTATCCATCTTCTCTTTGTTTCCCGAGCCTCTAGTGAGTTACAGACAGAGTGTGATGATTTTGAAATCTTTTCTACTAGGTAATCTATTATCCTTATGCATGAAGATAATAAATTCGGTCGTTGTGGTCGGACTCTATTATGGATTTCTGACCACATTCTCCATAGGGCCCTCTTATCTCTTCCTTCTCCGTTTGTTGTTGACTCTATTATGGATTTCTGACCACATTCTCCATAGGGCCCTCTTATCTCTTCCTTCTCCGTTTGTTGTTCCCTTATTACAGATCACATTATTTGCCAACTTCCTCAAGTTCCTTCTTTGAAGTGATTAAAATCTCTACTTCGGCCTTACGGAAATTTTATTGGGAACAACTTGTAGTCACATATTGAAAACCCAACACTTCATATCTTATTTCTGACATCAATGTGACTCTTAGTTTAACAAAAGACTATTGCATGATTCACTTGCTATGTGGCTCTAGAAGTCAAACCAGGATGCAAGTGTTGGGACTGTTAACCCATCAAATAAAATATTCCCTTGATGCAATTATAGTTGCAATTAATTAAAGAGGTAAATAATTCCTAGATTATCCTTGCCTTAAAAAATTAGATAAATTTTAATGGATAAGAGATATACTGTTTGTATTTTGCTGGTCCATCATTCTCCCTGACTGGCATTATATTCGTTGTATTTGTAATCATTAACTTTTTCGGATTAGATACTTGTGCAGTTTGATGAATAACCTTAAGACCAGAAATGTTGTATGGCTTATAATGTTGGCCATAATGAGGTTCGGCTAAGATAAAATAATATGAATATGGAAAATATTCTGTCATGCATTTGGGTGAATGTTACTTTTATCTATAGGGTTTTTTAAGAACAAATCAAGAAGGTATGAATATGTAAAGTAAAGTGCTAAATGGGCATGTATAAGGAAAAACCTTGGTTTGTGCTTGTTAGAAAAAAATGGTGAAGACCTAAATTGACTTGTTTTGAAGTCACAATGAAGGATTTCAAAATGCTTGTTTGTCTGTTGGTAGAGTTCCTCGATGGAGATTATATAAAGTTGACAACTTATAGTTGATACAAGAACTTAATAATATGGTTACCGGAATTTACAAAAGTGATATAAAGCTATTGCAAATTCCTGTGGATTTCTGTATTTCTATCACATGTCTTTCTTCCTTTTGGGCAGAGTATGGTCTTCTCAATGATGTTCTCTGACTCGTTTTTGTCAATAAATGTTTCCTGACCTTAAACTAGTGCCTGAATTACGGATGATTACATCATTATCAAAAAATTAATTTTTTCCTTACCTTGTGGTTCCTGTCAATTCTTGCTACTTTGATTTCCTCTCTTGTTCAGTTCTCAATGCTGCCATAGTTTCTTGTAGAGTATGCGCATCATGAATTTTACAAGGCAGTTATACTTTTCCCTTCAGTGTCTGTATGTTTTATATGAATGACAATTATTCACCTTTTTCTTTTTGGCTTTACTGAATTGCAGGATAGAAACCCTAGAAGCTTCACGCTGTTTCAATTGTAGCTCCTATGGTCATTCACTCAAGGAGTGCCCCAAGCCCCGAGATAGTTCTGCAATTAGCATTGCTCGCAAGCAGCACAGTGCAAAACGGAATTTTACAACGGGATCTCGGGTTCAAGTTCGATATTATCAGAAATCTCAAGGAAAATATGATGATCTGAGACCTGGAGTCCTTGGGCCTGAAACTAGAGACTCCTTGGGTATTGGGGTAATAAACTTTTTCGTTTCATTTTAGATATTTGTTTGTCTACAATGGCATTGTTTGTTAGAGATTACACAGAAATTTCTCTTATTCATTCTATTAGATGTATGGATCTCGATCTATCAAATAATTAACAGAATTTAGGTAGTTAGCTAGGGCCCAATTCAAGAGTTTAGGAAACAATATAATTAGAACGGCTAGTAGCTTGGAAGATAATTTGGAAATCCCAATATATTGCCTGACATGTAAAGCTCTCTCGACTAGTCTTTAAGCTGATATTTCGGCTGACATTTCCAACATATCGCCTGATTTTTTTTGGAGACAGTATGTGCATCAGACTGACTGCCTTACTCTTTCTGCACCCATGAGTTGTGTAGAGTAATTTTCTTTTTGTAGTTTTTTTTAGATAATAACTTCTCAGAAATACTCCCTGCAGTATTGTATTGTTGGAAATTTTATATTGATATCAGTTTCTATAAATGACTTGTCTTTTCCCTGCAGGTAAAGGAAATAATAATACTATAATAGCATTTCTACCTGTCTATATGGGGTTGGAATACTTTTAGAACTATTACCTTCCAAAATTGAAAAAACAGTCTAGTTGTTTCTATTATACTGTTATACTTCTGAAGTCATGGTGAAGTCTTAGTCACATAATTTAATTCCACTCACCGTTGTGGATGGGAGACAGTTCTATGGATTCTGAATCTTGAGATTCAAAATCTCAACTTTTAAACCAGAGTCACAATTGTAAGCTGGAGATTATCCAGGGTCTACACTTAATGTTGTAAATATTTCCTTACAGGAATTTGATCCACCTCCTTGGCTCAATCGGATGCGTGAATTGGGATACCCGCCAGGTTATCTAGGTATGCCAAGCTCGATATCGATATATTATAGTTGCAATTGATTTTTGTAGATATCATTCTTTTGTATTTTTAACTTCTATATATACTTTTAAAACTCCTTTCTGCATTACTAGTGGTTAGCGAACTTTGACATGTTTATTTAATTGTACTTTGTTACTTTGCTTTGTCTAAGACAAGAAGAAACATATTGTAATTATGGGTTGATTTGGCAACAAAAGGTACCCTGTGGAGATAATATAATCATTTAATGTAGTTATATTTTAATTATTCAAGTTTGTAAATTTAGTTTACTAGCTTTATTACCGTGTCTGTCTATCGACCATCTCCAAAGCTCGACAGATACTATTACATTCACAGCTTAGTGGAACACGAAGAACTTTCGTTTTTCATGTCGTCGCTGTTCATTCTTAAAATGTTTTTTGATGTTTGACATCTAAGATGTTAGCACAGGCTAGCAAACAGATAAACCTGAACTAAAGGGACATTATTATCTAAAATATATAGTCGTATAAAAAATGGAAATTAAGATGCCTGGAATTTACATCCAAGTCTTTAACTTAGCAATTTGTTTTCAGATGTTGAAGATGATGATCAACCTTCTGGAATCGAAATATTTGCCGATGACACCAAAGTGGAGTACGAGGATGGAGAAATCCCCGAAAAAGGTGATCCAGTACAACCACCAGAGAGGACAAAGATGACCGTCGAATTCCCTGGAATCAATGGACCCATCCCTGAGAATGCTGACCAACGCCGCTGGGCCCAGCCCTCAAACTCATTCAGAAACCGACCACAGAGAGGACAGTACTCTGACCAATTCCGAGGAAATTACCACCACGATCGCTACAGGGATGACGGTCAAAGTATGGGTTCAGGTTTTCCTGCACACAGTTATTCGCCAAGGTATGGTGCATATGAGCATAGCAATTCTTCGAATGCAGGGAGGAGTCCCGCGTTTGGTAGATCACTTTCTGATCGAGGTTGGCAGAATCACTCATCTGGGTACGATAATAGATTTCCACCACCACCACCAGGTCACAGTCCATCGGCAAGCCTTGATCGGTGGCCTCATGGTGGGACCCCTTCACAGTCACAGGGAGAGAGGCGAGAACGGCAATCTCACCACGACCAGAGGCGAAATCACAGGAACTGAGTTGTAAGTTTTGACATGATCTTTTCCCCTGTATTCTGTCGTTGCTTATTTGAAGATGGAAAAGTTCTACTTAGTATTCATGTAGTTTTGTGAGTTGATAGTTACAATGATGTTGTTGATTCTGTCCAGTTTCTTGGTTGTCATCCAATTGAGTGGGTGCATGATATTGTACATGAGTTGTTGTAAGCTTTAACATCTTACTTTTTTACCGTGTCATGTAACATTTTGGAATAGCAGTTCTCCTCACAATGTTGTTGATTCTGTTCAGTTTCTTGGTTGTCATCCAATTAAGTTGGTGGATGCAATATTGTACATGACTTCTTGTAAGCTTTAACACCTTCACACATTTTTACTATGTACAATAACATTTCTCATTTGTGAAGGAAGATGGAGCAGTTCTAGTTAGTAGTCGTGAATTCCTGAGAGCAATATTGAACATGAGTTCTTGTAAGTATTAAAAACTTCTCAGTTTCACACATTGTTGTTTTGGAGCAGCTCAAGTTAGTATTCTGTAACTCTCGTGAGTTTATAGGTACAATAATGATGGTTCTACTTTCTTTTTTCCCCCTTGCTTGGTTGTCATCCAAATGAGTAAGTTTAATCTTGTACATGAGTTCTTGTAACATTTCTAGTTTGTATTCTTGAAGTGGTGAGTTAACAGGTGCGAACAATGATGATGTTGCGTCTGTTTGTTTTTGGTTGCCGTCCAAATGGGTGAGTGTGTTATTGTACGAGCGCTCTTGTGAGTTCTAACATCTTCACACTTTTTTTCGGTGTATGGACAGTATATAGTGGAGATGGATGGTTCATATTTGGATTCATGAGCTCTTGAACAGTTCATATTTGGATTCATGAAGTCTTGTGAGTTGGTAGCCATAATGATGCTGAGTCTGTTTTCTTTGTCTTGGTTGTCATTCAAACGGACTAAAGTGCAAATAGCAAATGAGTTCTTAAATTGTTTATTCTCTTACTACTGAGTCTCAAGTCAGGATATGAGCTAATCCATGGCAGGATAAGTTTTACTAACGTTGGCAAAAATAAATAAACAAATAATCATACCGATTTTTTTTTTGGAAAAACGGTAGTATGAGATCCCATCTGCGTTGACTAGTGACATACGAATCCAATTTGTTTTGCATTTCCCTAAACCCAGTGCGGACACCGTAAAAAAAATGAAATATCGCTGTTTCCTGATCCACAGAGAACAGCTTGTCCCTGGAGTTGGTGCATATTATGTAGCCATGTCAAAATCTAGTTGAGCAAATCCTTCATCATCATCCATTGCGGAGTCAATGATGTACAGTGGAGCAGGTATTTTGTTACTCTTACCAAATAACATTACGACATATAAAATGAGCACCCTAACCACTTCAAACTTCTTCCTCAATCCTCATCAAACAATTAATCATAACCATACATGCACAACAAAACAACATTAAAATGTAGTCATTTTCTTCTTGCGTGACTATAACAAAAATAGTATTATATATATATATATTTTTTTACAACAAATTAAGACTGTCATGTTTTGAACTCCTGACCTCTCATTTTATCGGGCGAGAAAAGTACTGTTAAGAAGTAACAGAGGAAAACCAGGCCAACCCATCTGATTTGGTGTCAATAGTAGCCCAGCTCAACTCATGAATAACTTATACTTACAAAAAACAAAAAAAAACAAAAAAAAAGGTCGATAACTCCTCAAGGAGATCTTGTTTCCTCAAGGTTGGTTGAATCAACTATCGAATCGTGTCTCTTGGAAGGCCCTGACGGAGGAATTGGGATTCCCCGAGGAAGAAAATCAAATGCACGGCCCCTAACGACGAAGCCCGCCTGCAGAGGCCTCGGGTAGCTCGGCGGCTTCCTAAGTCTATGTCCATGGCATGGACAATGAAGGAGGAGAAAGAAGAAGAAGGCTATGGTGATAGCTAGAGAAAACGGAGGTTGTTTTGAGGTTTTCGATGGCAGAGGAGGGAAAGGAGCCATATGGGTTTGTTTTGGGATTCTAGCTATAAGCTAGGGGTTCGTATATAGCGGCGGTGTCATAATATAAGGGCTTCGGTAGATGTTGGAGATACTCAAGGCGAACTCTCCGGCATTTTCTTAGGTGACGCAGAGAAGCTGTTGCGAGGAGAGTAGGTTTTCGGTCAGGTCTAATATTGTGGCTCACATGGGACTTGGTGATAGCTAGCTTTCGTGTTAAATAATTTATAAAAGTACACCTTTCAGCATTTTGTAGTAAACCCCCGATAACTTTTCAGAATCGCAGTCAGCCCGATATAGCTTTTTGAAATTGCAGAAAACCCACAATAAGTTTCTGTATTTTGCAGAGAACGCCCATAAATTTGGACAAAAAAACAGCACAAAAAGGTATTTTGAGAGCTGCTGGGTGTTTAGTATAATTTACCTAAAAGATAGTGGGTGTTTTTTGTAGAAGTTATTGGGGGTTTAGTGTGATTTCGTAAATTAGTGGGGATTTAATACAAATCGTAGAAAGTTCTCGGGCGTTTACCGTAAGTTAAATACCATGATTAAGTATCTTTTATTTATTTCCTTACTAAAATTTGTTTATCGGTTCTACTTTGATGGTTTTGCTCGCTTATATATCTAAACTTTTGAGGACATTTTGTGCAATTTCTAAAACTTTTTGGGTTATTTTATAATACTTCATATATTATAACATGCTAGTTCTTTACCTTAATAAACTAATACCGAAGAACTGTTTTTTTTTTGTATTTTATTAATGTAATTTTTTTAAATTGTTTAGCCGTAGGTAGTTCACATTAGATTAGGTTAAGATATAATTATGATTAAGATATATTAGGATTTAAAATGAAATATTTAAAATAGTAAAAGATAATACTGATCATGAAAAGTTTTTCCCGAACTCGTAGTTTTAAAGAGAAAAAATAATTTACGTACGTTTTTTTATTTTTAAAAGTTGAAGCCTTTTGTTAATCTCTCCATCTCGGCACACAACTCTAGTGGTAAGTAGTACCAGTTTTGCCATTTAATTAGCTCTGGCAGTTGCTAATCCCAATTAGAGAATCCCGAAGTACAATTACGGGTTTTCTTGGATTTGTTTACCATGCGGATCATTTCTTGGTATTTCCCTTCAGCTAGCCAGCCTTTTTCTCTATGGAATGCAGCATAAGTTATAATATGAGCATTTTACGATGTAGGTCCTTGAAATTTAGTTCATTTGGTTCTTGATTAGCCCCCTACGAACTTAGTTGTTTATGATTCTTTTAGAGCATTTTTAGACCTTAGGCCCATTTGACAAAGGTTTAAGAAAGAATGATTATTAAGGAGAATTACTGGCTTAGTTAGCCCGAGTGATTTAATTTAGTTAAAAGAACTCATTGGGTAGTAAGATNCCCACCCCACCCCACACACACACACACCCCTCCAAATATGAAATTTATATAGAATAGGACCAATGTAAGCCTATAATCAAACTAAATTGTTTAGGAGCGCACTAATGCAATACTCAAATAGAGCTATATTTATTTGCTTAACGGTTTAGGTTCAAACTACAATATTACATTAGCAGCATATATATATTAAACCCTTAACAATAAAATACAATATATAAGATAAAATAAAAATTAAAAGTGAACCTATATATCACTGCACGTGCCTTGGACGCGTGCGGAGGCCGTTCAAGAAACAGTAGAACACCAACATTCGAGGATAGAACTCCCTCGGGAATGAGATCAAACAACTTGCTAATAAAGGAGGATTAACAACTAAGAAAAGCTAAGAGGTCTATCTCGCTAATCAAGCGTTAGTTTATATCTTAATAAACACATATGTACTTTTATAACAAATAGTATAGTGCACGTGCGTTGCACGTGAAATTGTATTTGCTTCTTGTTCTAAAATTTTTAATTATATAAGAACTTATCTAACATAACGGATAATTAAAGTTGTTATCATTGTCATGTATAAATATATATTACAATGTTCACTCATAAAGATAACTACAGATGAACCACAAATATACAAAGACTTAATCGAATTTAAATATTTTGATAGGTTTAATAGTAAATTTAACAAATAGTAAGAGTTAAAGTGTTTTAAAATTAGCATTGCATGAGAGTTCTTGAGGGAGAATTATCATGTTTGCATGAGTAAAGGGTACTTGATGAGAGCCCCAAATTACTTCACACCACCAACGAATCAAGTAGTGTTAAGCATCTACACAATCACCGACAAATCAATCAAAATACGTAGTCCAAGAACGCCAATATCCTCTTTAGACTTTAGTTCCTTCAGCATGTAATTTCTTGTAACTATGCTCCACTCGAACACTATTATTCCTAAGCACTGATGACTCTGGAATCAGTACTAAAAGTACAATTTATAGAAACTTTAGGGTATTTAAGTGAATCTAGATATAACTGAGGGTTTATATGTGCAAAATATGTGAAACTAGAGGCGAATTTAGATTCTTGAGTTGAGTTGTACTGTACCCCCACAAATTTATAAATTGCATATAAGCCCTAGTAACATTTATAAGCTTCCCCCTTTGCCCTCCATAAACTTTAAAAACTACACCATAACCTATATCAAACCCCATTTAAATAATTTCAAGTAATAGTTAATTTAGGGGAAGTTGAAAAAGTTTAGAAAAATCTCAATTACTCGATCATATAAAACCATATTAGGAAACAAAAATAAGAACTAATTTAAAACTAATAAATAATTTATAACAAATTTTTATTAAAACAAAAGTTAAAACTCACCATAAAATGGACGCTGCCCTCACTTCGGATTCAGCTCCTCTCTAATTTGGTGGTAATTAGAGAGGATACAATTATTCGAGTCATTAACTTTCATTCTTATTTCAAGGGCCGATCATAGGCATCATTTGTAGAAATTAACAATTATGTATTTTAAGACTAGATCTTAGACACAAGTTGTATAAATTGGAACTTTTGTTTTAATTAATCTTTTTTATTTTTCACTATTGTCATATTGGTTTTTACAATAGGGGATTTTAATAGAAAAGTGGTTTTCAAAATAATAGCAGAAATCCTACGTGTCGTAATTTCATTCAATAAAATCCAAATATAGGATAAATATTGAGATTATTGGAGAAGATTCGGATCCCCCTAATTGGAGAGGAGTCGAACATCTACTCTAATTATCATCTAATTGGAGAGAATTCAGATTCCCTCACTTAGAGAGCTCGGAATCCTTAATAGTTTCTTTCTAGCTTCTATGTACTATATATTGACATAGGTGTGTACATAAAAATATACATACATTGATATGTGACAAGAAATGAGAGCAAAAATACATAAAAAATAGAGAATGAAGAAGTAAAGATTTTGACCTGCTCAGATACCTCCAAAGCTAGTGTCTTCCTTCCGATCTCACTTTTTCGACAGCTGCACCCATTTATTGATAAAATTAAATTTATTTACTGGATTCTA